CCCGTGTTGCTGCTGCTGCTTCAGCTGGAACGGCACGGTCGCCCTCATGGGCTGCAGGCGGCTCCCGGGGCCCCCGGCCGGGACGCCCGCGCCGCCCGCGAGGCCGCCGGCGGGCGTGGGGGACCCATTGCGCCTCACCCGCTGGGACATGCTTCCCCCCTCCCCGCGCCCCGGAGGCGGCGGTCCGCGGCAGCCGGCGGGGAGCGGCTGCTCGGGGCCCGAGCTCCCAGGGTGACGGAGCCCGACTTCGGGGACGGGCGGAGGGCGGCGGGGGGGCGGGAGACACGCGCGGGCAGCGACGAGGTGCTGCAGCCGCCGCCGCCGCCGCGGCTCCTCATCAACAATAGTGTCGCCTCCGCGGTCCCCGCCCCCGGCCGTCGCTCATTGGCGCGGCGTCAGCGCGCTCCGGCCGCCCGGCCTCGCTGATTGGCTGCGCGCGGCTCGGCTCCCGAGGCTGCGTCCGCGCTTTAAAGAGGAAGAGGCCCGCCCCTCCCTCCCCTCCCCGTGCAGGGGTCGGCGGCCGTGGCGGGAGGGGCGGCGGGGCGCGGGGGCGTGCGCGTGTGTGTATGCGTGCACGCGCAGGCGCGCGCCCGGCCCCGCGCGCCCCCGGTTCCGGCTTGGAGAGAGCCCCCGGGACTCGAGGCTGGAATCCGGCCGGAGGGACGGCGTGTACGGGCCGCGGCGTCCCGGGGGACGCTCTGAACCCAGCTTTTCCCGCTCTAACGCGCTTCCTTACACAGCGGGAGCTGTGACTTACCACGTACGCACAGTCTCTTTGGGGACTGCCCTCACCCCCCCCATCTTTTTGTTCTGTCATATTCCATCTATCTATGGGCACAGCTCAAAAACGTAAAAGAAAAAAAAAACATGCTATTTTATATTTTCCTTTTTTTTCTTTCTCTGCCTTCCTTTTTTTTTCCTTTTCTTTTTTTTATATAATTTTTTTTTTTTTTAGCTCTACAAAGATCCAAATTTCAGGACGATTGCATCTGCAGGTCGGAGTGCAGTTTTAGATGGTGTCGGTGGAGTTCAGTTATCCAGGGTGTTGCTGCCACCCCCCCCCCCCCATGCAGATCTCCAGGAACCCCGAATTTAATCTTCGCATCTCTTTGGGGATGACACTCGGATTTTGACATGACACTTCCTATTTTGACCTCCCAAGTGCTGGAAGTAGGGGGTAGGGGCATGAGGCGCCCGCTGTACCCAACCTCAGAGTTATTTTCTCTCACTGAGGCCTGGACTCACTGTGTGTGGCCCTGGCTGGTCTGGAGCTCACGCTGTAGCCCACACTTCTCAGTTCCCCATTTCCCCTCAGTTTCCCATTTCCCCATACCTTAGAACCATGGCTATTAGCTTGCAAGTTTATAAATTGCTGAGGCCTCCGTTTGCTCCTTACTATTTAAGGCAGAAGCGGGTACGACACCCATATATTTTTTATTTATTTATTACATTTATGCGCTTGGTGTATGTACACGCACACGCATGTGGCAGAGGACAGCCACATGCCCATCCAGGGGGGTCAGACTCGTGTTATCAGGCTGACCCGTTTCATTGGCCCACCTCCATAGTTTAGTCTTGTGGAGAAGATAGTTCTCCATACTTTTCATAAGGACTCTGAAAGGCTGAAGTTCTAAAGCAGTGTCCTATCCCTGTTCCTCTTCAATTAAAAAAATAGACATACAGCCTGACTTGGTGGCCCACGCCTTTAATCCCTGCACTTGGGAGACAGAGACAGGCAGATCTCTGAGAATTCCAGGACAGCCAGGGCTACACAGAGAAACCCTGTCTCATACAACAACAACAACAAAAACAAAACAAACCGGGGCTGGAGAGATGGGTCAGCAGTGAAGAGCACTGTCTGCTCTTCCAAAGGGACCGGGTTCAATTCCCAGCACCATGGGTACATGGCAGCTCACAACACAACTGTCTATACCTCCTGTTCCAGGGGACCCAGCCCCCATACACATGCAGACAAAACACCAATGTACATAAAAAATTAAAGAAACAAAGCACCTCCCATTCGGAGATCTCAGGCCAAGGATATGAATTTGGGCTTTCTATTTGAATTTCTCTAAGTAACTCACTTATCGATTGACTGTCATTCTCCTGCCTCAGCACACTGCCCAACACACATCGATTGCTAAAAGCAAATTACAGTGTAAGCTGTCGTCTGCTGGGTTCAGTCCTGCAGCCCCTGAAAAGTGGAATGAACAGTTTAGCAAATCCGTCATTCACTGCAGCAAACCCCGCAACTTTCAGAATCTAAAACCAAATCATTTTCAGCACAAGCTGGAACCTCAGCTCAGCAAACTGTTTTTAAAAGCTTGCTAAGACAAGCACACAACTGCCTTGTGGCATAAAGAAACTGGGGGGGTAGGGGTTGGGGATGAGCGTCGTTCTGGAGTAGAATACTTGCTTTACATGTATGGGGCCTTCAGGGGAGGGGAGAGCCCAGCTTGCCTAAAACTAGAATTTGACTTTTTGACTCTCATGACACCATTTCACTCCAGTAAGTCTGGCTCTTAAAGGAGTGTTGCCTGCTCTAGACCGAATTAGCATATTCTGGAAAGAAGATAAAAGACACAGCAAAGGAATTAGGTTCGGGATGGGTGAGTGTGGCCACTTAAAACTGTTTCCTACTTGTACTTCTCTGAAAGATTCAGTGAGACATGATAAAGTCCTTTCTAGTTCTTGCAAGACAGTACTGGGCCCCTCTCCCTCGGTTCCCTTTCAGTGCTGTGCTGGGAGTGGAAAGGGGGGGGGGGTGAAGAGCATTTGTCTTCAGACAGAAAGACACCAAATACTGTTAGAAGGTTTATTGGGGCCTGGGAGTTTGGAATGTGTTGGAGGTTCCCGGAGGAGAGGGAAGGAGACATCGGTAATGGATCAAGGTACGTTGTTTGCATGTATGATGTACAGCTGTCAAGCAATGAATACAAGATATTCTATTTAAGAAGAAAAGAGCTGGGCTGGAGAGATGGCTCAGTGGTTAGGAGCACTTCCTGCTCTTCCATAGGACCTGAGTTGGATTCCCATCACCCACGTCAGGCCACTCCCAACAAGCAGTAACTCCAGCTGCAGGGCGGCAGCAGACACCCTTTCCCGGCGCCTGCGGGCACCATACATCATACACACATCAATGAAATTGCCTTTTAAAAATGAAAGAAAACTGTAGGCACGTTAAGTAAAAGCATGTATGCTGTTCCCTCTTCAGAAAACTAAATGCTAGAGGTTGGAGAGATGGCTCGGCCATTTGAGTGCCTACGGCGCCTGCAGGGGACCAGATCATTTCTAGCGCCCACTTTGGGTGGCTCGAAGCCATCTGTGACTCCAGCTGTTCTTCTGACCTCCACAGGCGCCTTCACTCTCATGCATGCATGCAACACACGCGGGCACACACACACCCCTGGATTATGTGTTCAATCACAAGGAAAAAGGAAAAGAAGAAAAATAGCTAATTTTTAAAAATAGACACTTGCTTTGTTTTCATTGCCCTCAGAATCCCTCAAAGAATTGTTGAACCTTCTGAAAGTGATTAGTGGCTTGTTTTTTCCTCAGGCAGCCTCCTGGAGCCTCCCCACCCCGTGTTCTGGGCCGCCCACAGCTGCCAGGCTGGCTCTCCCTCCACCTCTTGGCTGAGCGTGCATCCTGTCCTCGCTCAGCCCAGGGCCTTCCTTGTTTGTCTGTTTGTTCGCATCCTTGTTCTGTAATTGATTCCTAAGAAAGGATTTGCAGGTCAAAGTTTGTAAGGCACTGAATGTTTGCACAAGTCTTTGCTCTGCCTGTATTTGATTGATTTGGCTTGGAAATAATGTTTCCTCAGAAAGCTGAAGGAAGGGTTCCATTGCCACACAGAATTCTGGGTTGCTATTGATTAACCCAATGCCATTCCCATGTCTGACCCAGGTATAATCTTAGCTTCCTCTCTGCAAATTTTTAGAATCTTTTCTGTTAGCTTTTTGTTTGTTGTTTTATTTTATTTTATTTTAGACTTTTATGCTATGCCTTACATATGGCTTTTTTTTTTTTTTTTTTTTTTTTTTGGTTGTTCTTAATTTCCTGAGATGAACACCAGATGTTTTCCGGTAGAAAAATGTTATCGTATTATTCTTTGATAATTTATTTCCTGTCACATACTGCCCTGCCCTGCCCTGAAAATGACTCTGTGGGCTACAGGCAGTTGCCTCCCTGCCTTGAGTGATGCTTTCTGGCCAGCCCAGCCTTCCTCCCTGCTGTGTACCTGTTAAGTCACATTAGCTTCTTCTTAAAGCAAGAGGCTGGGGTGGTCAATACTGGCAGCTTGAGAGGATCTAGAATCACCTCGGGACCAAGCCTTCGAGCATGCCTGTGGGGGCTGTGTCAGTGGGGCTAGCCTCGGGACACGCCCGCGCGAAATTGTGCAGCTCAGGTTAACTGAGGTGAAGACTTGCCTCCAGGTGGGCAGCATTACTCCGCGGGCAGGGCCCTGGAATGAATCCAGAGGAGAATGAGTCACTCCTTGCTTCCTGACCGTGGACGCAGTGGGGCAAGCCACCTCCCGCTCCTCGAGTCCCGCCATGTCCTCCACGACGGGACATATCCCCCTCCAACTATAAGCCAAAACAAACCTGCTTTCCTGGAATTTCTCTCGTCAGTTTGTAACCAATACAAAGGCCTCTGCTCCCTGGCTCCGTTCTTAACGGCCTCCGTCTATGTCACCCCTTCCCCTCTGGCCCTTCAGCGCTTGGGATGCGGTGGCTTCTCCTTGCAGTTAGCGGCTGGCACGCCTCAGTTCTTACTCCCATAATCCTCCTGCTCACAGCTCTGTATCACAGCTCTGTAACTTCACAAAAATCTCTGTCTGGACAGGAGGAAGGAATTAGGTTTGCTGTTGGGATTCTGACTGCAGCTGTTTTCCCCTCATCCTCTCCGGCTGCCTCCTTCATCCCCAATTTCCCAAGAAATCCGGGGCTTTCTAGATGAGTCTTCCCTGTGTCCTCTGTTTTCCAGCAACACGTCACCTCTTGAGCCAACCTCTGAGGAATTTCCTTGTGATCATCTTCCAAAACTTCCGTGAATTTATCTCAGCAGCCATATTTTTTTTTTCACATCCAAAGTTCCTTTATTCATTGATTTTCATCCCCTTTTCTCCAGATTTTTTTTAATTGTACTAAAATACTTGTAATATAAGATGTATTACGGTAGGGCAAGGGAGACACCTCTGTGAGGGAATGCGTGCCTAGCGTGTGTGGGGCCATGGGCTTGATGCCCAGGACGCCTCAAAAATATTAT